CGCCGAACTGCAAAAATTCAGTTACATGTGCCTAGGCACCACACTCGGGTGCTGGGTTTCTGGGCGTTTTGGTTCGGGAAACGATCCGCAAGCGGAAGCGCCACTCTTGGGTATCACAATTCCAAAGTTTGTCCCGAAAGTATGGGGTTGGTCACCTAGGCGCCCCACTGGCGCTAGGGCGCCACTCCAGAAATTGTTGTCAGGCGCCAAGAGCCATTCTAAGTGTTGAGTTTCCTCCCAATTACACTATCAGAATCATATATAGCAATCTCCCACTTAGAGACTAACTGCAACTAATCCTGCACCTTCAAATATGTATCAACTTCTAATAATGTATTATAGTGTGGTTCAACTCTGGTCTCAACCTTCCTAAATTCCAGCTGAAGTCAATAGCTTCAGATTCTCAATTATAATAGTCTTCGACAATATATTTGCAGAATTTTGAGTTGTGCATCTTCTCCAAAAATAATTGACCATCTTATAGAAGTGAACAAATGAAGTTATTGCTTAGTTGAATTTACTTCATCATGACATGAAATATAGCGTTCTTGGCTAGATGAATAACACTCGTACTGTCATTGTAAAAAATTTAATTCCCTTGATCCTTGCCCAGTTCTGTTATACAGCCTTTTAGTCAAATAATTTCATTGCTAGTCTCAATGGTTGTAATATACTCAGCTTCTACAGTCGATAGTGCGACAATCATCTGTAATCTGGAAACCCAACTCATTATTGTGTTCCTCGAAGTGAAGACATAATTTATTGTACTTCTTATACAATCAATATCTCCTGCTAGATTTGAATCTGCATATCCCTGGTAGATCAATCACTGCAGTTCCAAAGCAAAATGTTTTGTTGATTGTTCGCCTCAAATATCTGATTCCTCTTGAAGAACAATAAATCTTGAACCTCGAATCACAATACTTGCCACAATTATCAAATCAGACACTTGAACATCATGTTTGTCTCATTCTCAATCATGTCTTTCCACTTCTTGAACACCACAAATATACCAAATTTATGTTTCAAGAAGAACAACAACACATTCATGGTGTGATCATCAATGAAAGTGACAATATTGAGAACCTCCAATGGACTGAATTGGGACAGGACATCCTACATCGGTATTCACCAACTCCAGTTTCTTGAATTCATCTTTGACTCATTTTCAGAGAAAGTAAACTTTTTTTGTTTATCATAAATACAATCTTTATAAAAATCTAGATTTATGATATTAAACCAAGAAATTTGATTTTAGAAAGTAGAAACTTCATATATTTCTCACTCATATGATCAAGTCTGTAATGTCATAGAACTACATCACCTTTTGTTTCAACAAAACCAATAGATTCAAACATCTCATTAATCAAATAAAAGGTTAATTCAACGTTGTCTCATGTCATCATTATTGCTCACTATACACGAATCACCTGTGAAAGTAGTCATATAAGTTGACTCTGCAAGCTAACTCAAAAAAATACAAATTTCTCTTCAAATATGAAATAAGTCTAACTTTATTGAGCTTAACGACCGATGTATTTGACAACTTGATATCAACATAACCCTTTCCAACAATATTGCAAGCCTTGTTGTCTCCCAAATATATCTTCCTCATTTCATCTTGAGTTTAATTTTTAAACATCTCTTTGTAAAGACAAGAATGAAAAAAGACACCTGAATCAACTGAACAGGATTCAGTACTATCTGGGGATAAAATAGAGTCACCTTAATTCATATGTGGAGACATTTATAAAAATCTTTTTATTTAAACATCCACCACAACATTCTTAAAAGCTTTATGGTATTCTTAAAGTGACATTTCTTCCCACGGTCTCATCATTCACCTTCACATTTTTCTCTCCTTGACCTGGACTTTCCTCTCTTGAACTTACATCTTTCTCTTTTTATTTCTATCCAGATTCCTTCCTCTGTTTTTATTCAGAGCAGAACTCACCTTCTTGCAAACTTCTTTATTTGGCACTAACCCCACAAAGTCATCAAAGTTAGCTCAAGAGTCGCTCCCCATAATGATTAGTCCACCCAACTGTTCAACAATAAAGATAAAACTAACAGTGTCCTGACATCATCATGAAATTTGATGTCAATAGAGCACAATTGAATAGTCGCAATGTTAAAGTTACTCAAGTGCGCAACCGCTGAAATACCATCCATCATCATCATATTAAATAATCTTTTCATCAGAAAGATATATATGAAGTTGAAAGCTTCTCATACATTCCTGTTAGTGCAACCATGAGATTAATTATAGTTTTCTCATTCAAAATGTTGAAAACAACAAATAAAGAAATGAAAAACAGATCAAATATATTATTGTTCGATCAAGAACTTTCCATTCTTCTAAAATCATTGATTTCGGCTTCTTAGTGATTCCTTCTAGTAGCAAGTACAGTTTCTTTTGATCCAATAAATCTTCAATTTGTATTTTCCAAAAAACAAAGTTTGACCATTTAACTTCTACATCTTGTACCTTATTTCGTCGTTCATTGCTCCAGCTCAAACAAAAGATGTTAAAAAAACTGTGCTCTGATACCACTGTTGTGGAGCGAGATGTGTGAAAATCTGAAAAATATCGTTCGAGAGATCCGAACCAAAACTTTGAACATAAGGGTACAAACCAGAAATCGTGAAAAAACATAAGTACGCCAAGATTTAAAGTGAAAAAAACCTAAAAAAGAGAAAAAATCAAGAAATCACACTACAGTAAGAATATCACTATGAAGAAATGTGCATATTACATCATACTCAAATCTCTCTACAACTTCGGACCTCAATGACACTCCTTTCTTTTCTTAACACTAGAAAAACATAAAATCCAAAGCCTTGACATAGATTCTTAGATTCTCGTAACGAAAATGAAATTTAAACATTGAACTGCATAAATTTGATTACAAGTGCCACCCTAGGCACTGGTTTTCATATGCCCTAGTTCAAGGAACGATTCGAGGCGGTTGTGCCCCTCCTGATCGCCATAATTCCAAAGACTGTCCAAGAAGCATGGTGTTGTGTGCCAATCCATAAGTTGGGCCGCCACTACAGGCATTACTGGTAGGTGCCAGGCGCCATTCCAAATGTTGGGTTGTCTCCGAACTCCAAAATCAAACTCCACATATAGCATCAACTTTCCTCAAGTTCCTAGAAAATGTACTATTTACAGTTTTTATTTTCCCTTTAGAAGTAAAGATAAAAGCTTTGAGTGGATCACATGGGGCAAGACAAACTATGCGTACAATTGCAATGGAGCTGAAAAATATAAGCCCATAATCCATGACTAAAATTTAAGCATTTGTGTATAAAGTCAAATATACAGGATCGCCTCTTAGAGTACTTGAACAACTCTCTTAGACTTCCAAACACAACAACAGAGTTCATTTTCATCAAGGCATAAAAAATACTGATGAATTCAATTAACAGTCTTTGCAATCATTTAATCTTTAATCGATCGATTAAATGAAAAAGATTAGCAGTGTTGTATCACTTAAAAGGTTCACTTTCATACATGCAATTCAACTAAAACAATCTACGTATTAAATTCCAGAGTAAAAGAGATATGAGATACAAAGTACATGACCGGACACCTTTGAGAAGAGACAATTGCTAGCACAAATGCATTGATCATTCATTAATATACTCTGACAAGCATCCTCTATTTATAAAGAAGATTTTGCATGCGAGTAAACAACAAAATAAAGTAATCTAAGCATAACCAATAAAAAAAATTAAGCACAATTTCTTCATAAAAAAATATGTTCTTTTTTATAAGAGGATCATAATAAAGTCATTTGGATACATCCTTATGCTATGAATAACCTTTGTACGATCAGCGTGGAAGAGAACTCAAACATAATGGGCAATGACATGTTAGATGAATGTCCTATATTTTTACCCTATAATTGGACCAAATATTGCTTGAAACTATTAGAAGCAATTAAGGAATCATAACACTATGGCACATAATTCTTGATTACACATATGATCATAATTCTTACTCCTATCAAAATTACGACTAAAATGAGTCGGATTGCAATGGGTCTTCATAATTACAATTAGTTATATGGCAATGCAAACTATCATTATCAATATAAAACCTTGTGCATATGGTATTCCCTTCCCATCCCATCCCATTCAAAACCACCTTATCCATGATCATTAATCATGTCATGCACCAATTTCTAGAACACCACTAGTTCAGAAACCTATGTCAATTCCAAAAATTCAGGCAACAATTTTGTTCTTTTATTGACTGAGACAATGAAGATTACTACTGTGATGACATCATCAATCAGTAGTACTCAATCACCTTGCTGATTCTAATCATAAGTTCTGTCTAAACAAAAATTTGAGGCCATGCTGGAGCTTATTGCAGATATTGAAATATCCCCCACAGCGAAAACAAAAATTGGCATCAAGATTGTTCATTCAGCATTGGATATTTCATCACAAGCAAAATCTCCAATGTAATTAACTATTCCTAACAGAATGTTTAACGACTCAACAAGAATCAAAACAAGAAAACTTAGTACCGGTCCATGAAATCAAAGAATACGATCGTAACTATGGGATAAATTGCAATTATCCATTCAACAATCATTTTAGTTTCCAATAACCTTTTGGCATCCTCATGGTTCCATGAGTAAGACATCCTGCATTTAGTTCATAATAACAAAATTATGGTATAAACTGTGAAATATATCAAAACTGCATGAATGGATGTTCCTATATTGCATACAGTGAAGACAACATGATGGCAAGGAACATCAAGATGAACAGATTAGGATAAAATATCAGAATATTCCTCTGAGAACAAGAAATGGCATTTCATTATAACAAAAAAGATTTTAAGAACAATCATGCTATATGATAGCAACTCAAAGCCCTAATAAGAGCAGGAAAGGGTCTGAAAAGTAAAAAAAACAGCTCAGCAGTACCAAATACAAAGATTAATATGATAGCATTGATTGCATAAATTTTGTAAGGAATACCTTCATCTTGTAACCATTCTCAAGAACTTTAAGCTGCTCAAGATCTTCTTCTAACTGAAGAGGAGTTGGTGAAAGCTTTGGGTAGATTTTTAAAAATTTTGCATCATAACTCTGATCAGATGCAAAATAATCAACATCAGAACATATTATGTACTATCTATGCAAATAACCAAGATTGCATTAGCATGGTATTTCAACTTGTGTAGTATTATAATTTAAACAGAAGTTAATTACTTAACTGTGCAGAGAACATACAAAATATAAATATTGAATGAAAATAACCAATTCATTATAAACTCAAACCTGAATGCCAAGATGAAGTAGATATGGGAATTGCGGATTAATTTTTCCTGACCTGAAAAATAAGAGGAAGAAAAAAGAGCAACGTATGCTTTCATAGAAAAGGTCCTACTTTCACTGAAAGAAAAGTGGCATAATTTTAAAATGACTCACTTGTTATAGGGAATTAATCCTCTCGAAAAATATATTGCAAAACCATTATTGTCCACAATGCACTTTACACGGTTGGGATCAGTCCCGTCTTCAGGCTTTAAGGATGTTACAGCGGTACTAAACACAGCATCAGGACATTGCTACAGTCCAAAATTTATTTTAAAAAGAAATATTAGATATGAGTAAAAAGGAAATGTGAAGCTGCCTAGAGTATAGAGTACAAAAAAAAAAAATAAATAAATAAAATAAAATAAAATAAAATAAACCCGATAGATCCCAAGTATAGTATAGTATCAAAATCAAGTATAAAAGATATGAGACGAATGATGATGTTAAATAAAAAGACAAGGTACCAGAAGCATTTTATCATCAATAAAATGTGCAGCTTATATAAATAGGAAAATAAAGCTTTATCCATTCAACGTCCATTTTAAAAGGGTAATTTTATAGTTTTAAAATGTTAAAGCTTCATAAAATTGTATGTTTTCTTCCTGAAGTTCAATCTCCATAATAGTTAGCGTAATCCAAGCAATTTCTTAAAGTTGCAACAATTTCAACAACCTTATGTAACTCCACTTTATCTATATTCATCAAAAGGACAACAAATTCAGGTAGTACTGGGTTCAAACCTGGCTTATAGTTCTCCAATACCTCATTATAAAATTGCAGCACACATGGCTTATGATCAAACAAACTGGTAAAATAAGCTCAAATTTGTCTATAATATTATCTTTTTGCTTACAAATATGTATATTCTCTTTAAACTGTCTTTTTTTGCAACAGGAAAACCATGTAATCAAGTACAATTTATCCCCCCACCGTTATTCATGGTTTTGAGCCAATTCGATAATATGCTAAGATTAAAAGCCGTAGATAAATAAACTTACAACGTTTTTGGTAATATAGAGCCCTTACTGATGTGCATAATCTATGGCTTTCAGCCTTGGGCTCACTGTCACATCTTCCTTCTCCTCCTTGCAATCTCCTTGATTCAATTAGGTTATTTGTTGCTTGACCTAGTGCTCCATTGTAGCAGCTTTGTGCCCTGTCATACTGCCTTGATGTATTTTTATTGTGACACATCCATTTGCAAATGGATTTTCACCAACTACCACTCCTACAATGATACAGCTGCCACTGCCGCAGCACGTCGAGTCCGGTGCGACAAGAAAGCAAGCTGCCCAACCTTCCCTTAGACCGGCCTGGTCCAATCTACTTATCCCGCACCTGGCTCCCCCCTCCCGTGCCTGAATCATTTGCCCCTCCTCTGTTACCGTGCTCTAATCTCTCGCATCTTCTCCTAGCCATTGCAAACCCACCGTTCTGTTGTTGATTTTTTTGTTCCAAGTGATCCTCCTGGCATTTTCCCTCGTTCGAGGTTGTATCCTTCGGCGGTGTAGTGCTACGACTGTATCCTGCCAAGGCGGTGTATATCTTCGTTTCGTTCCCTCCTCTCGGCGTCATCCTCCACTGTTGTCGACCTCCCCAGTTCCGTCCAACAGGTCGGCCACACTCCCAGTACTCCACAGCCAGCTGTCGCACTCCCAGTCCTCCCATTGGTCGCTCAACCTACCTCCAGACTCCCTCCAGCTGTAATGATGAGCCACACCACCCCTCATGCTGCCGCAACACCCTCATGTGCCTCCCCCCTCCATTGTCGCGCCTCCACTTCTCTTCTAGGCTGCCGCATCAACCCTCCTATGCTACAACATTCCTCTGTCGTGCCTCCTATCGCTCCGACAAACTGCTGCTCCTCTAGGTTCCCTATTGTACTCCTTCCAACCGATGTTGAGCCACTTCTACACTCTCTTCTGCCCACCCCCAAGCCTGCCTCCTCCAGCGGCGCTCGACTAACAGTAGTCAGCTCCTTCTAGTCCCACTCTAGCGGTTTTCCAACCGCCTTCCGAGGTTGTCACACTGGATCCGCCTCATTCCAAGATTGTTCCGAACTTGTACTGAGTCTATTCTACATTCACTATTTCTTTTGTTGTTTATGTCATTTCGTTTACTATTTATGCGCTCTTTGTTTGTTGTTAATGCGTTAATCTTTCTGAAGAGTCCTCACAACACTCATTTTTAAAATTCTGCAATAAAATTTGTTATGTTTGAGTCGTGGTTTGGTTTAACTCAGGTATCATTTGGTATCAGAGCTAGTCCAACACTAGTCTTACCCTAGGGTTCCCTAGCATCCACCCCACCCAATCCGCCCAAAATTTTTCTTCTTTCTCTTCTTATCCTCTTCTCTTTTTTCTTCTCTTTTTGTCTTCTCCTCCTTCCTTCCCGTATCTTACCTTAAACACTTCTGATCATGCCTTCACATCGATATGTGTCGGACCCAACCTCGGAAGAAAAACAACAAGAGATTCTTTGCTTACAAAAACGATTGGCGGAGATGGACGATGAGACTTAAGATGATGTTACCCTCGACCGTGACATCAAGGGTCAGAGGAGATCGCTACGACGACCTAAATCCGTTTTATCGTGATTATGTAAGTGATGATGAATATCGCTCATGCCGCTTTGGCATTCACTATCATAGGAGACCACGAAAGGAGCTCACGTTTGAAACCCATAAGAATTTCAGAATCAACATGGACCTATCGGAAATCAATAGAAGCATGGACCCCAATGACTTCATTGACTGGTTGCAAACGATAGAACGCATCTTTGATTACAAGGAGATACCCAATGATAAACGGATTAAGCTTGCCACTATCAAACTAAAGAAGACTGTGTCGTTATGGTGGGACAACTTGTAACAGTAACGACAACGCGAAGGGGATGACAAGATCACTAAATGGGCAAAAATGAAGGCTATGCAAAAAATACCTACCGCCCCACTATCACCTAGATTTGCTCCTCCTGCTCCACAACCTGCAGCAGTGTAACCTCTCAATTGAAGTATTCACGACACAATTCAATCACATACAGATGAAGTGCGACCTGATCGAGCATAAGGAACACACAATCACCCACTATATTGGAGCTTTAAAACTAGCCATTAGCAACATTGTACAACTCTAGCCATATTGGATGTTAAACGAGGTCCAGACCCTTGCATTAAAAGTAAAACAATAACAGAAACAAGTCAAGTCTCAAAACTCCTACCGATAGTAGTCGACATTCGAGCCATCACCTCAAGCTACATCTACCACGTCGGAAGCTGGCAAGTTACTATCACGAAGCACAAAAACCATCCCGACCGACACGAAACCGAAAAGAGGAAGTTCCTCCAGGACAATTCCTTCGAGCCATATCGTTGTCGATTGCCACACCACCCGCGTTGTCTCATTTATTGAAGAAGGTGTCGTCAAGGAAGTCGGGAAAGTCGAGGAAGCCCAATCTATGATTCGGAAGAAGCACTTCAACTCCCGGAGACGAAAGCGAACTACAGTTCATATGGAAGGTACTCCAATCAAAGTCCGAAAGAGACACAGCACCTTTTGTACTACATGCAAAGTCAAAGGCAAAATCTACAGTTTAATCATCGATGACAGTAGTTTCGAAAACGTCGTCTCCACCCTAATGGTCAAAAAGTTAGGTAGTTAGCTTTAGCCACACAAAAACATCTGTGTTCCTATTGTCTCACCAGACTTAAAAAAGGGAATGAGATCCAATCAACAATGCTTAGTCGATTTCTCCATCAACAATCAACTACACAGGCAAGTTTGGTGTGATGCAATCCCAATGAATGCATGTCACATTCTGTTAAAGAAACCATGACAATTCGACCGAAAAGCATAGGACGACGGCTTCAAAACAACTACACATTCAAGAATGATGAAAAATGCATTATATTATTGCCTGTAAAAGATGTGAGGGCCACAATTGACACTGAAAACGCATCAATCTCACTGGCCATCTTCTTGCAATTAGTTCGCGACGCATCGATAGGTCTAGCTCAAGTCCTCCTAGAAGATATCGACAAGAATAATGAGATACCCACACAACTAAAACCACTCCTACATGATTTCCAAGACGTCATGACCGACAATCTCCCAAATAGATTACATCAATTACGAGACATCCAATATGCCATCGACCTCATACCAAGGTCAGTCCTATCAAATAGACCCTCAGAGTATGAAGAACTTCAGCGTCAGGTGTAGGATCTTATTAAGATAGGATTAGTACGCGAAAGCACCAGTCCATGTGATGTCCCCAACGTCATAGTATCCAATAATGATGGCTCCTGACGGATGTGCATTGACAGTCATGTCATTAACAAAATTACAATCAAATATCACTTTCTGATACCACGACGTGACGACCTTTTAGATCAGTTGCACGACGCCACCGTCTTTTCAAAATTGACCTACGGAGTGAATATCAACTGATCATAATACGACTTAGAAATGAGTGGAAAACCGCCTTCAAGACACAACATGGTCTTTATGAATGGACAGTCATGCCTTTCGGATTGTCCAACCCACCAAGCACCTTTGTGCGCCTAATGAATCAAGTCTTTTGATCCCATATTAGGAAATTCAAGTTGGTCTACTTTGATGATATTTTGGTTTATAGTAAATCTGAAGATTACCACCTGCAACACTTGCGGGAGATATTCAAGGTTTTACGATTCGATCAACTGTTCGTCTACCCCAGCAAGTGTCACTTACTCACAAATCAAGTATGTTTTTGGGCTACATTGTGTCTAGCACGGGGACACAAATGGACACAAACCAAGATCTAGTTAATTGTTTCTCCAAAATGGCGCATTTTGTCGCCTGCCACTGGACGTTAGATACATCTCATTTTCGATTTGTACTTCCGCGAGATTTTTTGGCTTCACGATAGTTTTAGGAGCATTACTTCCGATCGGGATATTAAATTCTTGAGCCACTTTTGGCAGACTTTTTGGAGCAAATTAGAAACTAAAATCCAATTTAGTTTTGCAGCACACCCTCAGGCAGACGGGTAGATCGAAGTAGTTAATAGGAGCCTAGGGAATCTTCTTTGATGCTTCATAGGGAAAATTGTGTACGGGCATATGCTGAACCACAAAACATACGCCATTCAAAATTGTGTACGACCGTAACCCAATCACACCCTTGGAGTTGGTCCCACTTCTACCCCGAGCAGAGATCAGCGATGATGCTACTGAACATGCTCATCAAATTCAATAACACATTGAGGAAGT